GTGCATAACACTAAGGACCAAGTGTTAGTAATTCTTTGCAAGTCTATTTCTTTTCAGAATTTTCGCAAATTTCTTACAAATTTCAACCTTGCTATGGTTTATATCATCTATATTCCATACCTTACGTACTTTGCAAGAAAGCTTCCGACATTTGACAATTTTGTTTAGTCGCTTTTCACTTCAGTCTTTAATCCATCGAAGCGGTCCCATTCGATAATTTTTTACTTTCGTTGTCAACGGTAACTTGATCTAGTCCCCTAGCCTAGATAAGGTGATGTTTTTACATCAAATTACCAAAATATTTTACTTTTGGTATTTTTCTTTTGGTATTTTGTTTTGTAATTATGTAATTTGTAAAGATTTATTCCCATTTTAGCATCATTTCATTTTTGTTTTCATATTTTTCTCATCATCCTTGCTATAATTATTAATACTGACACCTGTTATTTTATTGTTAAGAAACTAAACTAGAAACCCATTGTTAATGACTTCACTCTTTAATTGGTACCGCATTAATAAAGTATTGTACCAAACTAGGCTAAGTTTTATTATATGATTACACTCTTATCTTTCTGATAGTTGTTTTTCTTTCTTTAACTCATTAAAATTTGTTATTAATATTTATATCACAGATAGAGCTATGAAAATAATCGCTTATAAGATCATTATGGTCACTTAGATAGTAATAGTTTTATACCTGTACGAGTGGTGAGTGATCGGAAAAAAGATAAAGACCAGAATTTTAAATGCTTATTTCTAATATAAAATTATTTTCTCGTTTAGAAGATCGATATAGCCTAAACTTTGTACCCCAATGCCCGTATTCAGCCTTGTACTGGACTAAACTTTGTAATTATCCATAAGATATATCATTGTCATTTAGAACAATAATTTCACGTGGAATTGGCTTGACGGTTAACAACCTAGGACACGAAATTGGTAAGCTAAGTTCAATTTCCAGCTAAGATAGTTTGTACTTATTTCGCCTTAATACCCTATTTTATACTTAAGGAAGGTATGAGCTTACTTCTTTCAGTTGGTTCGCTCAAGAATTACTTCTTGGTTCCATGTAACCGAGTACAACCTGTCGCATGTTACTTGAAGTAAAGATGAGTACTACAAAGTAAAGCCATTTCCCGAAGGACTTAACATGACACCCCAACGATCTACTCGGTTATGGTATAATTTGATTGATGATTATAGTAACCAATAGTTTAATAACGTTGACCATATTATGTCAAGACAAATAAAATCTGTAATACCAATTAACAAAATTTATTCTAAATTCAAAACTGGATAGAATACGATGCGCATAGGTACTTGCGTGTATGCGTTTCCCCTTGTCCAATGATAAGCACTCGAAATAGCCCTGCTGAACAGACACTAAAGAAATACGGTCAGTACAAGTACGACCGGAAATACGGTCATTACTTTAACTAATCTGGCTGTCAACAATTACAAGTGAATCAGAAAGTTACTGATATCAGATCACATAATCCTGACACATTTCGAGTAGAAAATGCGGTTTAATTTCGATGCAATTGTGCGTGCCTATTATGTGGTTTTTATTGATCGGTTTTAACCCGTTGCATTGACGTGAAGAAAAATTGTTATTTATATCCGAGAAAATGAGCATCATACTCTTCCAGACTAATAACTAAGTCATCATTCGCCAGTTATCAGTAACTGTGGAATACTACTTAGTGAAATCTACAGGGGTGATTTCTATCATCATTGAGTGTCCCATACTAGTGCCATTGTGCTACGCTAAGTTATGTTTAGTAAATAGCTGTTGTTTCCTTTAGCATTGTTGTTCGAGTTTTCTTTATTAAAATACTCTGGAGGTAGTCAATAAAGAAGTTGGCAATCAAAACTTCCGGAGCTTCTGTCTTATAATAAAATGATGAAAAGCTGTTTCAACTTTGGTGGTGTTTATAAATTTTACTATTGAAAAAAAAACATAAAAATATTTTGAATTTAATAACCAAACCATCAAACAATTCTGGAGGCACATGTACATTTTTTTCATATTTTTTTTCTCTTTCGTCTTTTATATACTACGAGAGGCTTTAAATTAATTAGGATGCTAATCGTCAAAATATAGTTAAGCATGTTCGTTTTCTTTTATTTGCAGAATGTTCCTTTTCTTTATTTTCTATTATTGTTGTTTTGATTATTTTTTTTAATAAAGCGTTCTCGAATGAAAAATTGGAATTTAAACTGTCCAGCCAATTACTCATTTTTCTAAATTCAAAAATAAGATTAGCTTAGTTCTGTACAACACCAAATATAGAGAAAGGGAAAATGAGTCTAAGAGGATTGAATTACGTTAATCGCCCATGTGGAAAAGGCTGCCTTCCCTAGGAATTTGAAATTCTTTTATCTGGGTATGTCAACTGATCACTCGTCCCACTGACAGACTCTTGCTAAGTATAAAGTCGACAGAATTGTATATTCATAAATAGTTATGAATGTATTCATATCTTGTTGATAGCTTGATATGTTTTTTTAAACGAAAATTGCATTGAAGTAAGGACTTTTTTAAAATCACCTTAAAATATAAAAAGTCCACATTAATTTTTGTTCATAAACTATACTTATGTGTATACGTAATTCATACACATTCCGAGTTTAACTATTCTTCCAATATGTCATTGTCATAAAAGTAACTTATGAGAAACATCTCTCATAATTCATTATTACAGTTATTTTCACTTGCGTCTCTTAGATTGTAGGGCGCGGGAGTAAGTTATACTCATTCATGTTTCCATTTCCCCGACCAACAACGCTCAATTCTTCTGGGCCATAAATAAACCTGTCAAAATTACTCTGCAAGTGTCTCCTGGAGCAACGAGTCGCATATCTTCTTAAAATGGAAAAATGTTATTGAGAGGGCATCGCCTGAGCTGTGTCTCTCAAGAAGCGTGTGTGTCAGTAGGTGTGTGCTGCGTGTCAATCTCTCTGACGGCTAATGATCTCCCCACTTGTGCACGCCACCATAATAAGATCACACGGCACCAGACGACAGAAACTCTTAACGTCACGACTTGGCAGACAAAAATGAAAAATATTTCATATCATTATGACGCAGGCTACAGCCAATTTTGAAATAATCTGCGAGATTTGGCAATAAATAACCTAAATAATAAAAATTAATTTCATTTTGTTTTCGCAAATATTTCGTTTAATATCCAAATCGGTCTGTCATTGTCAAAAATCGACACCGCTCTCCTGTCACGAACATTCGCATGAAAGTGAAGCCTTGGTAAATCAACTAGGTCGTCTGCTATAGAGCGATGATTAGAAAGCTCGTCTCGCATATCATTGCTGCTTCAGGCAATTTAATTCTCACTGGGTGACCCACAACTGTTATTTTCGACCAAACTAAGAGAAGATAACGAAATACATTAAACTAACGTTTTTATTCACTACACCATTGTCCCGTAGTACAATCAGGTAGCACAATTTTGGCGCCCTAAACTTAAGATCTGTTATTTCCTAATCAGTTCCTTCTATAGGGTGTTCATTTCTGTGCTTGGCTTGCTGATGAGCTTATTAGAGTATACCACGAATACGGATTCTTCAATCAACTTGATTTCTAATATTTTTCTATTCTAATTTAATTTCAATTTGATCTACTGTTGACTAACCTCCTCATTCTCTTGCCATGAACAATCAGCTAAGTTTCTTCGCAGATTATGGCTTTTCGATGTTTTTCGGGTCTTTAGCTAGTGGCCAGTTTTGTCTTTTTATAACCTTTCGTGGTAAATGTATTTTAGTCGTGTGTTTTTCCAATGGAGGCTTTGCACTGTTGATATCTCGCCAAATGTTGGAATTGTTAATGAATCCTAGCGTTGCATTGGCTGCAGATATTCTGAACCCCTTTCGAAAGATTTCTGATGCAAGGTAGGCAATGGAGGTTTTTCGATTGTTACCCTCCTACCGTTTACCTCTATGAATGGAAGCCTATGTTATGCATGCAAAGTAGTTGTTACTCTGAGACATGCTTGTTATTTTGATCATCGCCACATAGTATATGCCTGGGCCGGCACATGGGTTTAGCTCGATGCTGTTTGGCAATGGATGATCCCTTTCTACACACTTTATAAGTGGTAAAAATTAATGTTGAGGGTTATCGGGGGAAAGCAGTGGAAGTCATCTACTTCACTTCAGAAGAAAAACAAAAAAGAACTGACTAGGAGTACTAACTTATACGAAGTATCCCCTAGAAGTTTCTTCCAGATGAACAGAATTGACATCAGTGGATTGAATAAAAGATTTTAGTTCCAAATTCCAAGGAAACTGTAAAACATCTGAAGACCGTCTGAAAGCCCAACAATCAAATGGTTTTGACTCATACACTAGGCTAAATAGAGTAATGTACAATGATGGTAATTTTTCATCTAGAAAATTAAGACAGGCATTATTAACTATCTTCTTTCTAAATCAGATATTGTACCTGCTATTAAGCTTAGTACCATGCAAGGTCAAATGAAAGAACATTGTTTTGTCAATCTTCCTAAAAGACAGGAATTTTTTCTTGAAAATCAGCGTTCAAAATTATGGTTTTAATTAGACATAAATAAAAAACAACAAAATAATGAAATGCTATTTCCTTTCAGCACAAACAAAACTGACACGGAAAGAAAGCATTTAACCAATTTGCATTAGTCTTTATGGAAAGTTTTAAAATTATAAGAAGTATACAAATTCCTATTTTGCTTTTCTGAGGAATTCATTTGCTTATTTAGCAGTTCACACAATGTAGTTATCAGAATTTTATACAATGCTAAATAACAAATATACCCTTGCTACATCTTATAATGAGAATAATATTATTGGAGAAGTTTATATCTCTATAAACCCAGAGCTAAAACAATACATAATGTAGCTTTCCTCTTTGACATTTTATACGTTGTTAACATCTCATACTTCAATCATCTCTATAGAATCATGGGATTGGCTAAAGAAGAAAAGAACAATAAAATTAGTTGTGAAGTTCAAATATGAAAATATAAGTGGAGAGAGAGAGAGAGAGAGAGAGAATAGTAGGGAAAAATGGCAAAATCAAAAGGAGAGAAAAAAAGGGAAAAGATGTGTGAATTAAGAGAAAAAGAGAGATTCTTTTCTCTTTTACTCTTACAGTTGGAAGCTAATAGAGAAAATTCTATACTGAGAGCCTACAGCACACAAACAGGTTTTCACATATTTCAGTTTGAATACGTACCGCCGGGTTTTGTCATACATTGATGGACACTATTTGATATGCTTGCTTTGTATTAGAAGAACCTTATCATTAAAAGCCTCCCAAGTTGATATGAACGTTGTTTAGTGTTATTTTTTGTCATTTTTGTATCTTTGCTTGTTGACTATTTTTACAAATCAAGGGAGATAACCAACAGAGAATGTATACACGCTATCTCGCTCACCAGGAAAAAACGCAACATTTATACCTCGAATAACCTGTTTAGGATAATAAAAATACCCGGATGACTAACTATCGCTACAACATTCAGGCGAGATAAGATAATATGAAGAATGGTGGGTATATTATGCTTCTTTGGTTCCTGGTGGGGTTGTTTTCTATCAAGAATAGCTATTTGCATGCCATCAAATACACTGGTGTTTTCAACAAATTAGAATATGTGGGGCACATTACTTTCTAACTTATTTCCACAAATTCAATGAAGTTAGGCTGTAAATGCAAAGTGGCCTGTGGACAAAACTGATTCTAAAGATTAAAAAATTGATGACATGATTTAAACAATTATGTTTCTATTAATTAAAGAATTATAATTGAAAAAGATCGCTTGGCATTTTATTTTTGATTGCATCTTTTCAGATACTGAATACTTTATGGCAAATATATTTACCATAAGATCATTTTTAAAATGCATTTATCATCATCATTATTGTTACTTTTTTCTTTTGAGAAAGATATAGTACAACAGTAGTAATGATCATGATTATGTTATGTCTGTTGTTTATTATTAGAATTACTGTCTGTGTGAAGAGGGGTAAGGGCAGATATTGTAATATAGCAGGTGGAATAATTATAGTGTTAGACCTACTACTTTTATTATTATCATTATTATTCATCTCGACTCACAATTAACTGACAGGCTCTTCAGGTGGTTAAATTACACGTTGTCACCCCCAACACTCTAGCTAGAATCTTTCCTTGTATTTTCATCGTTGCAGTTTGATTAGTTTCTATTTTATGATTTCTCTCTTATGCGGTCTCCATAGATTATGGATACAATTGTCCAGAATTTCATGATCTCTCGTGTAAAGTATTGGCAAAAGCCCTCTTTTAGACTTATTTACTGTCTGACTATTAGTTTATGCCTCCTTTCCTTCCAATTGTAGTTATGTTTGAACTTCTTATATGATATTATTATCTGTAATTTATCTGAATACCAAGTGACAGCAGGCCTGTTTAGTACTCCAACATTCTACCCAAGGCATTCTTGCTGATCTTTGTCATGAAATTCACTGGATGGTTTTAATTTTTCTTCAAATTTGCAATTCTTCTAATCATATTACAAGTTTTTTCCGACACTTCACTAATAATGAGAAGTACAGCATTCACCTTAATAACACAATCATTTCAATTATCTGGTAATAAAATCTTTACATTTCCAAGACAGCAACACCCGTTATCACTATAACTAAATTCAGTCTTATGACTTTTACTGACCTATCCATGTGCATTGCAGTCTGAGTGAATTTTACTTTATTTTTCGTTCTAACCGACAGCTTACAACTTGTACAAATGACAGAGGTCAAATCACAGTCGCTTGCACAGTTCTCAGTTGATCACCATTCTCATTCTGTTATAGTTATTTTTACTCTCCTTCTTGGGCAATTTGTTATATTCATTTATTATCATTGACAGCTTTGTTAGGAGACATTTACTGTTCTATTGTCTTGTATATCTTAGTCTTTAATACAATTTGTTCTAATACACCTGTTCTCGGATGCTATTAATATGAGTTCCGTTTTCTTTTCCGTGTGTCCTTTGCTCAACCTGCTAATGCCATTTTGCTTGCGATTCCTATATTTCGTCTCTTGAAACTTGCATGGCATTTTCTTCTTTCATTTTTTTAGTCTTCACATTTTGAAATTTTCTCTTTTTTTCCCCTGCTGAAAATTTTGTTATAATCCTTTTGTCACTAGTTTAGCTTCGTAGTCCTCAATCCCTTTGATGCCAGAATAAACATAATCCACAATACTAATAAACCTTCTTCCTCATATTTTTCTTTTCACGTAGTCAATCATCATTATCTCTGGAATTCATGGATAACGATGCATGGTCAACAATTTCCTCATTCTTTGATCCAAAATTCTTCGTTTAAAAAACGCTACAAATATCTTGCTTTTTTCATAGTTAAAACTTAGTTTACACAATTTTTTATTTTTTATTCAGATTTCTTTTTATTTCATATTTTCTCTTTAATTAAATCCGCTTCCAGTATTCCTAGATATTCGGACTATTCTTCTTCGTTTAATGCTTTGATGGTTCCTTATTTTAGTAACCGAATCTCCTCTGTTCTTAATTTTATTTATTTGTGTGCGTGTTTGTGCATGTGCGTGAACCATCAACAGTATATATTTCTCGATTCCGAAATCAATTCCAATATCTCGGGTAAAAAAAGTATTATTGTTATTATTTTTTGTTCTTTTTCCCTTCAGCCGCTAGGAGCAGTTAGGGTTCCAAAAATATCATTCATTGGTGACTGCTTGCTTTTTCTATTATTACTCAGTATTCGTAGCACAGTGTATAATTTCTAAAGAAGACAAAATATGACTTCTTTCATTTTATCGTTGATTAAGTAAAAGTCCCATTTTTTAAATCTCTATCGTCTTTATATTGCACACTCCATCTGTATATAGCATTTTGATAGTTTTTTTTGTTAATAGAAATAGTTTTCCAAATGATACAATATTGCTTCATTGTTTTTCTTTAATTAACATATCTTATCTGTCTCTTTTGATCTCCCAGCCATTGTATCGTGGCAAATGCCTTGCTACTGCAACCTGCTCGTTGTCTATCACTTCCTGCTGACTATGTACATAAATAGAGTTAGTTGTCATGTTTGCTTAGGCTTTCATTGTTGTCGATAGAGATAACCAGGTTTTACTTATCCTCTAATCTTAACCCCTCCGTTATGTAATCTTTATCATCGCCATCGTCTTTAGTATTTGTGACAAAAGAAGAAATTTTATCTAGCCTCCTGGATAAATCTTGTTCTAAAATCGAGATGTTTGAAACCTCTTTAGAAACCTTACTAAGGATTTGAATAATGCCAGTTAATGTGATATTCTCTTATTGATTCCAACTAGAGATCCTTTGCAAAGTCATTTTTCTGAGTACTCATGACTAACTGATCCTTATCTTCAGTTTCTTGTGTCTATTAAGTTTCTCCACTTTCTTTTAACACAATGTTCCAATAATCGAAGCTGTTTATATCAATCTATAGACAGCACTTCTCTCTTCCAATATACTAGATGAACAAAAGTTATGAACAGTATTCCTAATAACCTCTGTTAAAAACTGTTCTGTTACCAGTAATGTAAAAATGTATCGATATCTGTTGCTGCATCTCGCTTTAAATAATAAAAAAAATACATTTCATTTTCAGTTGTATATTTTAAAAACATTCGCGCAGGAAATAAAATCAAAAATATTTTTCTTACTATACAGAACAAATATTTATCAATAAAACTTTGAAAGGATGGTTTGCGAGATTACTTTACTATACTAATAATATCCATTTGAAACTTTCTTTTGTAGTAAATGTTTTATAGGAACCTTAAATAAAATTTAAAAACGTCACACGATTTAATTACAAAGCAGAATTCATTAGATTTTTAAGCCATTTATAGTTTACAGGCCTTTACATTTTAGTCATCATGTCTTGCAATTCTTATCAAAGTTGTAATTTTGGTATAAGTAGAAAAAACGATATAAAAGACATTGAATATTATCAATACGTTGAAATTTAGGTGATGATTAATAAAGAAAATATTTTTAAAATATCTTGAATAAATTATGCTGCTTTTAAACTGGATTTTGACTTTTTCTCCTAATTTCCATCAAAACCGAGATACAATATTGACGGAACGTGCAACTGATTCATCAAGTTTATTGGCAATTACAAGAACATGGTCCAGACAACAGAGCGTACGAACGATTCTTTAAAGCAACAAAAATGAAATCTCAGTTGGATAATTCAAAGATTAATCTGTAACTCGTTAAATCTGCATTCATTTTTTTTTATTAATTAACGGCTTTAATGTTCATACAATTGTTTAAAACGTTTTTTTTTTAAATAAATACACCGCCGTTGATCGAGAATTTGCAAGAATCAAAGCGCAGTAAATAAATAATTTAGTTGACTTCTGTACTTTATGATATATGACAAAATACAAAAAAATCACACACACACACACACACACATCTATATATATATATATATATATATATATATATATATATATATATATATATATATATAGTGAGCGCAAGATTGTGTAGAAGTTATGAGCTCAAAAAACACTCAGTGAACACACATCAAAGCTTTTATACTGCATTCGTACTTATGTGCTTGGGAAAAGCGTGTGCCTAAATCTTCCTACATTCTGTTCTGTCATCTTGATCACAGTTTTGTTGCTGTCACGCTATGATTCTAGGGAAAAATAGTTAATACGACATGGTCAATATACCCTCCACAAATGACCTAACCTCATGCAGTTGCTATACAAGGATTGCTATATGCTTTTCAATTTTCATAATAATCTAGCAGTTTTATTTTATAGAAATCATTAATATTCGTTTGACTATGAATAAAATTCCATTGTGTATGGCCAATGTTTAACTAATCTTCTTTCTGAAAATATAAAATATAAATAAAAATTTATCATAAGTGAATGAGACTCACGACTTGTATTATATAAATATTGTTTGTCATTTATAAATAAATTTTATTCGGGTTAAATCTGTGTAACAATTAATTATATTAACGCTAAGATATTTTTTATATCTTATAATTAATTTGGATCTGCCTATACCTACGAACATGCTCATGTAATAATTTATACAATGGGGTACTGAAAAGATCTCGGCTCAACTCACTTGAATAAATAACCAAACATCAGATTTTTTTTCCTTTTTCTATTTCTTAAGCTCGTCTTAAATGGCTATGAACATTTCAGCACCTCTTCGTACTCGATAGGGCTAACGTCTACTTTTACATATTTTCTGTCTTTCAATGTATCAAGCAATTATTCTTTTTCATAATTTAGAAATGGTATCTAACAACATCGTCTGCATCCTGAGGATACATCCTCAGAACAAAGTAGTTATATGAGTTAGGAATCATTGATATTTCTTTGTTCTTATCGTTACAGTTTACACGAAAGTATTGTTTTGAAATAAATATAACAACTTTTCTCCACGAATTCACTCGGATATATTATACAATTGACATTATTTGTATAATTCAAAATTGCGATATTTTTTGAAGTGGCCACTAAACGTTTGCTTTTAATATGAAAAGATGTGTTGGCCAAAATTATAGGTGTTGATATTGTGAGTAAAAGCCAAACACAACATTATATGTTAAATATTGTAAATAGTTTACCAGAGTCATGTTTAACTTACTATTCAAGTGATTGCGTTAACAAAAATATAATATATATATATATATATATATATATATATATATATATATATATAGAGAGAGAGAGAGAGAGAGAGAGAGAGAGAGAGACAGACAAACAAACAGACAGATAGATAGATAGATAGATAGATAAATAGATATGTATGTATGTATACCAGTAACATTAGAATTGTATGTCGTATCCTTAAAATGACTGTAGACAGTATGGAATTAACACATTAATTCCATCTATATTTTACGCGCGCGCGAGTTTTCCTCCCTTCCTTTCACACTCGTGCGTGTGTGCGCGCGGTTTGCACCCCTTCCTTCCTCTCACAGCTAGACGTAGCAGTAATCTGGAGGAGGACCTTCGCTAGCTCCTACTGATGAAGTCAGCCTAACAGATTTTGAATTTTTTCCCGCGCGTTTCTCGGCGTCTCAAACGAACAGCGTTTGCAAGCCAGTTGCTTCCCGATCTTCAACCTGACTAGACGGGCAACTCATTTATTCCGTGCCCTTAACCCATATGCGGGCCGGAATATCTTATTTCAACAATGTCGACCTCAAACTTGCTACCCGCAGGTCAGACCTTCTCCGTTTTCGACCAGAAGACGTTCGAGACACACGACACAGTCGTGAGCAAAACTTCGTATTCAACAAGTGGCTTATTTTTATCCCTCGTCAGTCAAACTTTAAATACAGACAGGGATATCTTATTGACGAACAAACTTGCTACCCGCAGGTTAGACCTTCTCCGTTTTCGACTCTTTTTCCCACCTTGTTCATCTTGCATTTCTATTTAGGCACGGAACTTTTCCCTGATCTCGTACCACGAGATAATCTACTTGTTTCCATCTAATAAAAATTACACATGTTTTACAAACAGATGTCTTTGTCATTTTATTCCGGCTATCTCTTTAATGTTTATAATTTATGCACTCGTTGATTGACCCCTTTCCTCTCACTGTTAATTCACGCATATTTCTTTTTATACATTGCTTGTGGACTCGGTAGTTTAGTGTGGTGTCTGGCCCAAGGCCACTTTGTAATAAACCAGCACTGCACCCTACCAGGTCTGCAACAACAGCACTCTTTACTTCATAGTAAAATCATCGAATGAAATGGTGATTACTTTATCTCTTTTGTATGATTTTACAGACTACATTGATGAAATTAAACGTCAAGTCAGTATTGAACAGGATAGGCTATGAAAGGTTTGAATGAAGAACACCTGCCTGTCTGTTTATAACTGTAGAGATAAACAATATGCAACAATTCAAGCATTTCTTAGGAATCATATCACCTTCTTAAGCATTATGTTACAGTTGTAGATTTACTGTTAGTTTCTCAAATAGCATATTAAACGTGCTATAAACATTCTTACAGAAAAGAAATGGACTTCTTTGTACATGTTTTTATTCTTTTATCAAACAAACATTTTATCACACACGTGTATGCTGTTTGTTTTACTCTCCGCATATTTCTTCCAAACTTAATGCTTGCGTAAGAAAATCGTTTTCTGCCAAGCATGTCACTCACACTCTCCAAAGTAGTCCGCATTCTCTCTCTTCCTCCCTCTCTCTTTACACACACACACACATATATATATATATATATATATATATATATATATATTGAACAATAAAAAAATATTAAAAAATTAAAATCTTCAGACACACTGGGTTGTAGATTAATATTCTTTCGTTTTTTTTTTATTATTGTTTCATTTAGATTCCTCGACTAGTTTCGGCCAAAATGGCCATCATCGGGAGAAGCTACTATATATATATATATATATATATATACAGTAGAATCCCTCATGTCCGTAATCCCTCATATCCGGAGTGACTCATATCTGGAATCCCGCATATCCGGACATGATTTTGATGTGTATCTTTGAACTATTTGGGTGATATGTAACTGATTTGACATTTCTGTTTTTCAGGAAATTTACTTTGTATAATTGCTTATGCTTATTTCACCCTAATGCCTTTTATTGGTGCAAAAGATGATGGGAATAAGAGAACAACTTTGAAGTTATCGCCAAAAGTGTAAATTTTAAACAGACTAGACGCCGGTGAAAATTTATTGTATGCTGAGTTCAACATAGAAAATCAGCATTGTATAATATAAAATCTTCCAAAGAAACTATTTTCCAGCGTTCACAGTGTCACAACGAACAAGGAAATAAAAAACATGATTGTGATGAAACCTGGGCTGAAATTGAAAAAGTTATTGAAATGTTTGTCATTTTTATGGAAAGAAAGCCAGCATTAACGCACGCAGAGTTATAAAGTGTCTTTCGTTTTAAAAATATGAAGAACAAAAGCAAAATGAAATGCGGAAAAGGTTGAGAATGACATTAGAAAAGAAAGAATCATCATGCAACAGCTATTTAAAAATCCTTGTTGCATTATCTGTTTTGCATACGTGGCATACTTAATATAATGAATTTTCATTAACATTGCATAATTCATTTTTTTCCTTAAAATCAATTCCGTTATATTTCACTCATCATTAGCTTATTTTGTTTACTATAAAACACTGAAAATAAATGCTAAACCTGATTTCAGTTCTTTTATTTTAATTTAAATATAACCCCTCATATCCGGACTTGGTAACCAATTCCTCACATCCAGAAGGCCTTCTTAGTCCAGATGTCATGGATTCTACTGGATATATATATATATATATATATATATATATATATATATATATATATATATATATATATATATATATATAATTGTGTATTTAGGCACCAATCCCTCATTTATACATGTTTCATTAAAGACGGCAGACAAGGTACTGCGATTAAGATTTTTATTTAATTTTTCTTGTGTTCGAACAAGTGTTTTATTTTCTGGACACAGAGTGCGTAGAAACTGTCCAAATGTTCTGTAATTCCGAGCGCATTCGGCTATACTTTTAGCCATTATCAAGGACGATATATTTTTACTTTTAACACACACACACACATATATATATATATATATATATATATATATATATATATATATATATAGAGAGAGAGAGAGAGAGAGAAGTTGTGAAATAATCGAGAAGGAAAAGTTTGGTAAATTTTCCGATGCTGACGGTATAGCTCTAGAGAAATAGAAATCTCCATGAATTCCTTTTCAAAAGCTGGAAGTGGGAAAATCTATTCCGATGACGCAGACATCACAACACTTTCCAAAACAACAAAATGGGACCGCTCTGATTGCGTGAATATCGTTAAATAGACTCATAACAGATTCTCGAGAATCCCCTCCATTAAATCTAATATGGTTCTAGAATTAACCAAGGCACAACATGACATATCCAAAGAAAATGTTAACAAAACAAACGACCGTATTTAATTTTTTTACTTGATAAAAACGCTCAACACGTTAAGCAAGTCGGACATATAGAAAAGCTTAGAAAATTATTTAGTCCACGAAAATTTATCTCTATAGTTATTCCGATCCACAAGTCTGAACAACTAAAATGCGGTAGCGACACATGTTGAACTTTCCCAATTGCAACCAAGCTGAAACAAGGTTGTTTTGGCTCTCTCATTGTTTACAATATTCTTTAACATTATATTCAAACAGATGACAGAATATATGGATTGCGGAAAAAATATGTACATTTCTACGCGTAAAAATAGCAATCTGTCCAACCTGAAGCCACTTCGGATCGACCACAATAGAACGGTGCATGTAGTCAGAAAGCTCTTGTTTGCACACTCAAACTAATGCTACAAAATTCTTCAGCATGGAAGCCACTCTCCTCGCATCAACCTACATCTAAACAGTCCCCAGCTGCCCGATGAAATTAAAAATAGCCCAGGACTTCACCTATATAGACTGCATTAGATCTTCCGTCATTCAGTTGGGCTAGATTCTTAAAAATCATTAAAAAAAAAAAAACAAATCATCGTGCTGCCCATTTTTCCATATGGAGTCGAATAGTGGGTCATATACCAGCGTCACTTATACCTACTCGTGAACTGATCACAGCGTTGCTTCCGCATCATTCTGAATGTGAATGGAAGCAAGAATCAGTAGTATTGAGGCTATTTTGTAAAAGGCTCACCTGCGATGAGGAGATCGTGTAGCGAAGATGGAAAAAGATAATCTTCCAAAGTCCCTCATTAGGAGAACTAAGTCTCGAGATAGAAATAAGGGAATAAACTCATGAAAAAGTATACTGGTCTCCTGTGAAATCAACGTAGGCCAATGGACAATACAGGCAGCCAACAAGGAGACATGATGACACAAGGTCGACTATGTATTCTCCCCTGCCGAAGCACACTAGCGCAGAAGAAAAAAGACGGAAGTACAATACGGGATCCTTCTTTAGACTGTAACAGACGTAGAAAACCCTCCAAAGTTTTCATTTGCAAGCAATGATGTTTATTAACCAGTTTTAGCATCCTTTACACACGCACACACTATTATGTATCTTTTACCATTTTCTTTCTTTGTCTTTTTATTCTGTTCATAAAGAACTGTCAGGAAAATGTTGCTTTTATTCTATGATAGCTTCTGCTATATATATATATATATATATATATATGTGTGTGTGTGTGTGTGTGTGTGTGTGTGTGTGTGTGTGTGTGTGTGTGTGTGTGTGTGTGTGTGTTATGGCTGCTCTTAATTTTTCTGTAAATAATAATAATAAAATAATATTTTCCGACAACTTTTATGGCCATGAAAATTTCTTCACCCAAACGCTGCAATATAACAAACCAGGTAACACTGGCCTTCTTGCTGGCGTGAAATAAATAGCACATAAAGAAATCTGAAGATGCGCCGATCAATTCAATAACTTTATCTGAGAATGCAGTTTCCTTTTCTGACTTACATCCTTATTCCCATCATCGCCATTAGTAATGGAACCCATAGCGATATTTCTTAAAGACAATCCTTTCAAACCTTTTAAGTGAAATCCCACAACATCCATCTTACTTTAGTCTTGATTGTAGCGTGTCTTGAAGAAAAACCAGAATTATTTGTAAATATATTTACAAGCACTTGAAGAATACTGAGTTTTCGAAAGAAACTGAATGATCTATCCCGTTGTGCTTATAATAATCTTAAGTGTTCACGCTCACTTATTTTCACTGCTTCTACTGACACCCCTCCTTTACAACTGTTGTAACAACTGTACCTCGGTCCACTGTCACCGTGTCTGTTATTCAGTGCTAGATGACGCAACCACGTAACTTAA